AACGAGACAGGACTTGGTGTCGGAAAAATGACAAAGCATTATCTACAATTGCTTTACTTTACTTGTTGACACTAATCAGATAGTCCACATCAGAAATAAATCATTTGCACACGATGCTTGGAATACCTTAAAGAACTACCATCAGAAATCAACGTTGTCAAGTATAGTTTTTGTGCTAAAGCAATTGTGCAAGCTCTTGTTGGAAGAAGGCGGGGATATGGAAACACACATAAGTAAATTTTTGGAACTACAAAACAAATTAGCGGCACTTGGCGAAGAAATAAAGGATCGTTTTGCTGCTGGCTTATTGTTGGGAAGTTTACCTGATTCATACAGTTTTCTAATTACAGCTTTAGAAAGTCGTCCACCTGAAGAATTTACTTTGGAATTTGTAAAGAGTAAATTGATAGATGAATTCAGGCGACGAAATGCGACTCAAGCTGGGACAAGTCACGATGAGTCTGTGCTAAAGATAGTGCATAAAAAGGTGCGTTTACACATGCATGGATTTAGTGGCGCCAATACAAACTGGCGCGCCAGTAAATTTTAAAAGCAAGTGTAAACATGGACTTGCATACACATTTTATATTTGCATGTGTGATGATCCAGAAATTTGACCCGATAATTACAAAGTCTTTACTGTAAAAATTAAATAAATTTTATCAAATAATCAAAAACTTAATTCCGGTATTCTTAAATCTGTATCGATAAATTAAAATAAAACAGATTAAAGCTACGCATCTCGACACACAGCACGTATGTCATCAAAAAAATCCGATCAATGAACTTTTTTCTTAGCCAAGGCCAGCATGTTAATTAATTTGATGAATTATGGCATTCTTGAACCAATAATGTTTTGACCTCAATAAATCAAATTATTGCGACATAATTAACTGATTTCAGGCTTAAAATGATGTAAAATTCCAAGGAAATTGCATCATTATTTTAATAATAATTAGCTTGGCCAATAGAAGTGTCGGATTGCTAGGCAAGTGACCGCCTGTTGACGATTTGGGGGAAGATATAAAAACCACGGTTTCAGTTGCCATTAGATAGTTTCCAGTTAACAGTTGCCAGAAAACAGTTGAGTCGTCCATTTGAGTTAAAGTCTGCCCAGTTTCGCGAAAAGTTACTTTTATGGCCTATGGCCTCGGGTATAATTTAACTTAGAAAATTTACGGAAAATCGTGAAAGTAATAACATTTGAAATTCGTTCAATAATTTATGTGCGTGCTAACTAAATATTTTGAGTAATTAATTAAGTAATTTTACGTGTGTTTTATGGACAAAATGTAAGTACTTTCTAGTGACAAGATTTATTTTTGATGAACATGACTTTGTGTGAATTTTACTAGAAATACTTTTGAATTTATAAACTTGAGGATTGTATTACTAGAAAAACTTTTGACTTTTAATTTAACAGTGGAACTTTATTGCCTTAAATAGTAATAACTCGAGTGTTTTATAAATGGAACATTATTGCAAAACTTAATCACCTTCAGATATAATGACATTTAATGGTGAAAAGAGAATATGAAGAGTACTTATAATGCATTTAACAATATTCTATTTTGAGTTGGAATTATGAATTAAACAGTTGTATTTATTAGCTAGGCATAGGATTCCGAAGATAGAATTGTTCTGATAAACTATTAACTGCAATAGGAAATTTTGAAAAGGAATTTGATGTCATAAAATAGAATTGTTTTCTTGAAATATTGGAAACTTGTTAAAAGGAAACTTATATTAGAATTTGTCCATGAAATAGAATTGTCTTAGAATATGGGAAAGCTGTTAAAAGAATTTATTGTTCATGAAGGGAATTTTGAATTAGGGAGTTTATTTTACAAGTAGAAGTTATTGTAAGATTTTATGAGAATAAATTAGTTGTTAAACAAATAGGTAATTATTTTGGGTTTTCATAAGTAATGGACTTAGAGATTTTAAGGAATTATTTGACTAGGTAAAGGATAGTTATTAGGAGTGATTCGGATGTAGTAAAATGAGTTGAATTAGAATTTTGAGAAATAGTATGAATAGGGCGTTTCTTATTTAGTAGGGATATTTCAGTGGTCCGTAAAATAACAATATAGAACGGATGTGAAGTATTGACTTTATAGAACTAAAGAAGGATGTAAAGTATTGGAAGATATTTGGCTGATAGATTTTTGGGTTTTATGTGAAATAAAATATAATTTAGTACACCTCATTAGTTTGTTTCTCTCTCTTGCAAATAGACCCTCTTCCACAGATTTTAGATAGCAAGCTCCAAGAATATGAACACCATCAATATATCGCTCGCCATTTACCATCTAACTAAATTTACATAAAGTACTTGGGGCGTTTTGCTACACATGCATAATCCAAAAAAGTCTGCACCCTTCTGAAATCACTGGCGCCAGTGGTGACAAATTCGTACAGAAGATCAAAACTTGCAAGTGTAAACAAGTGCTTGCACGTTGGCGTCTGCTCGCCAGTTTTTCGTTTGATTTTCATTTCGGTTGCTGCGAGTTCTCCTAGAAGTTTTGCAAAAGCAGCCAAAGTGGGTCGACGTCCAATCTATGGTTCAACCGAGAAACGGCCATTTCGTTGGTTGCGTTTCTTTTCCTGTATTTCTTTTATCTTTTTTTTTTACTAAAAGTTTAGCGACTATTTTACAGGCTTCGAAAAGATCACTCGACATAGTGCACACTGAGAAAAGCACTTTAAAAGTGAAACTGGCGTGCCACTTATTTCTGTTTTTCACACAAAGTGTAAACCTTTACTGGCGTGCAAATAGAACTGGCGCGACCACTGGCGCCACTAAATCCATGCATGTGTAAACTCACCTTAAAGGAAAACCAGCACTATCCGGGAATAATGACCATCAGGCCCATGGATCAAAAGTATGTTATTTTTGCAACAAAAAGGGACATTTTAAAAGGGAGTGTTTTAAATATAAAACATGGCAAAATAGCAAGGGAAAGGCAAATGTGGTAACTGAGAATCATGATGATGCTTGTTTTATGGTCAAGCTAAGCAATGAGGAGGCTTTTCTGACAACGAAGGACACACAAGGACATTCTACTTCGTGGTTTATAGATTCTGGTGCAACAAGTCATATGGTAAATACAAAAAGTTTTTTTGTGCACCTGGACGAAAGTAGAGGTGGTTTTGTGCGGTTGGCAGATAAGAACCAGTTATCGAAAATAAATGGTATCGGATCGGGTTATATCGAATGTCTAGTCGGGACTGAAGAAGTTGTTAAATTAAAACTGGACAAGGTACTATTTGTTCCTCAATTAGACTGTAATCTAATATCGGTAAAAAAGCTTACCAGTGCGGGATTTAAGGTACAGTTTTACGGCGATTCGTGTAAGATTTCTAAAGCCGATAAAGTGCAGGCAACAGCGAGATTATCGCCTGAATTATATAAACTGTCGGTTCCTGAAAAAGTATTAAAGGCTGAAGAAGTGCATAAATCCAATTGTCAACATTCATGGCATCGACGTTTTGGACACCGCAACATTGAAGCAATTAAAGAATTAGCCAAAAAGCAGTTGGCAAAAGGAATACAAATTGAAGATTCTGGAATTAAAGAAATATGTCAATGTTGTGTTAAAGGAAAAATTACACGTAAGAGTTTTCCAAAGCAGTCAATTAGTTGTACAAAAGAAATACTGGATATAATTCATACGAATGTCTGCGGTCCTATGAAAACGGAAACCCCAGGTAAGAAAAAATATATTCTTACTCTTATTGATGATTTTTCTCGATACACCACCATTTATTTAATGAGTCATAAGAACGAGACTGATAAATATATTAAACAGTTTATTGAATTGATGAAAAATCAGTTTAATAGGAAGCCCAAAATAATTATATCAGATCGTGGAGGAGAATATACAAGTCATACCTTGCAAAATTATTTAAGGGAACAAGGGATAAAAACTCAGTTTACTGCTGGATATTCTCCTGAGCAGAATGGGGTGGCAGAGAGAAAAAATAGGACTTTAATGGAAATGACAAGATGTATGTTGACGGCAAATTATTTACAAAATAGACTACCAACAAGGTCCAGAGATAAAACTCCGTACGAATTATGGAATAAAAAGGTTTCAGACGTATCAGGCCTACACGTTTTTGGCAGCGTACTATACGCTCATATTCCTAAAGAAGTACGAAGCAGCAAACTGGACGAGAAGGCACAAAAGCTGACATTTGTTGGTTACTCTGAAGAATCGAAAGCATTTCGCTTATTAGACATACAAAAGGAACAGATAAAAATTAGAAGGGACGTCATTTTTTGCGAAAGCCTGGAACAGGAGGAAATGAAATATAAAAGAAAGTCAACTGAACAAACTACTCCTTGGCAAGATGATGGACAAACAGGAAACGAGAAGGAGTATGTTAACGAAGACACAATGTCAGACCTCGAAAATAGTGACGATGATCCTTCTTATTATCCCAGTGATACAAGCAGTAATGAAAATGCCGTGCCTACGTCAGGTGTGAAAATTTCACAAAGAACGAACAACGGTGTTCCTCCAGTTCGTTATGGTTATGAAGCATCACTGAATATAACTAGAGGAGTCGAGAACGAGCCAGTGAATTTTGAAGATGCACTTTCAAGAAATGATGGCGCCTCATGGCAAAAAGCTATGGAAGAAGAAATTAGTTCACTAGTGAAAAACAATACCTGGTCTTTAGTGCCAAAAGACAAGAACGTGATTTTGAACAAATGGGTGTTTAAAGTGAAAGACTCTGAAGACGCTTCTGTGCGGAAATATAAAGCGCGGCTTGTCGCGAAAGGTTTCGCTCAAAAGTTCGGAGTGGACTATGACGAAGTGTTCGCGCCGGTGGTGAGACACTGTCTGAATATGCCCTTACAAATATCACTATAAACATCAAATTCTGATTTGTTTGAACTTTTCTATTCTGACAGGAACTATCATCCTATAAACAAGGTGTCAAAAAAATTTCCTCTTGTGTAAAAACTCTACAAACAAAAATCATTCTAAATGGCAGATGAAGACAAACCTGAACACGAAATCGATTTAAAATACGAAAAAAACAAGCAAATCGACTTGAAAGAAAAATCCTACTCCACAAGGCAAGTTGAAACTTCTGTAGCTCTTCTCGCGAGTCCCGAAACCGAGGTAGTCTTAGAAGCTTTATTGTTTATATCAAAATATGCCGATTTCAACAGAAACAATTTATTAGCCCTCATAAAGACAGACATAATAGAAAAATTGTTTGAAAATTTCCACAAAAATATTTGCATTTTGCGCGTATCGTTGAGGCTTTTATCAGTAATGCTCGATACCGAAGATGCTATATGCGAAATGGACCAAGAAAAATACGACCCCCAAATAGTAGAAATCTCTCAAATGTATATAGACAGCAAAGATCAACACGTGAAACAATTTTGCGTGGAGATTTTAGCTAAAATCGCCAACTCTTGCAGAATCACCACGTTGATATTCAAAACGGACCTTTTCAATCCAATTTTCGACAACATGAAAGCAGCCAAAGATACCAACATACTTTACTACACAATGTTGTTGTTTTATGAGCTCATCGATGCTCCTGCAGCTGTGACCATGCTTTCTGAATGCCCTAAATTTGATTTAAGCATTATAATGAGCGATTTAAATCATAAAGAAGAGAGAATTTCAAACATGGCTTTGGATATTGTCGAAAAACTTAGTCGCTATGGCTTGACATTTTTGCAAGAGAGCTTCCGAAAGTTGAGCTTAGTTGAGAAAATGTTTAAAATTATTATGGACGATGAAAAAACAAATCAGCATTCGATTGCGATTAGAGTTATCCATAACTGTTTGAATTCTGAAGAAACTTGCAGCTATTTTGTAGAATCTTTGGAGTTTTTGGAACTATGTCAATGGGTGAAAATTTGTCATCCAAAATTCCTACTTCCGATTATTGAAGTTTTCATAAAACTTACAAGCATTCCAGAATTAAAACAAACACTTTTCGATTTATCTGTGGAAGAATCAATATTGTACTTTTACAGATTTAAAAACAAGTCAGTGATCAATAAAACTTGTGAAGCGGTATCAAATATGACTACTCATAAATATTGCTGTGAAGCTATGCTAACTCCAGTTATAGCTGGCACTTTGATAGAAATTTTAGAAAATCAAACCGACGAAGAAGATCCTTTTAATGAAGTTGTATTAAAAACCGTATTCCATTTTATAAGAAGATATTATAAAGCTATGGATATATTTCTAAGCAAAAATTTCAAAATAATATTATTGGACTATTTTTTTGGTAAAGTCCATGTAATAAAAGAAGAAAGCTTCTTGATGATTTTAGAAATTTTATATCGGTGTATGGCTCATCCTGTGTATCAACAAGAATTTATGAATGAACAAATTCTGAATGAAGTTTTAAAATGGTTTCAAAGTAATTGTGTTAAAGCTGCTTCTTTGTGCTGTGAAATTATGACAAATATTTTAACATTGGATGACTTCAGGAAGTTTTTCTTCCAAAAAAGTGGCCCACAAATTTTCCTAAATATTCTAAAATCAGCAGAAGATATCAATTTAATCACACAAATATTGTACTTCATATTTGCATGTTTTGTTTACGAAAATCTGGCCATGGCATTTCTTCACAATGGGCTGTTGGCAGCCTTGAAAAACTACAACGAACTGATTTTTGAAAAAATACCTATTTGCAAGAGACTTTTCATAATGGCTTTGGAATTCTATCCGCCAATAAAGTTTTACGAAACTGGCCGAATGGAAATAACCGATAAATTACCTAACAAGTTTTACTTAATCAATGGACAATGGCATGGGTCGTTTCCTTTTCTGGAAGTTTTGGAAATGCTGTATGTATCTCCCTATCCTACTATTTATTTAATTGACTACTCTTATGAAGTAGTTAAAACACCAAACTTGCAAGGTTTCAGTCAGAGCAGCTTGAAAAGTTCAAAGTCATCTTCGAAAAGTCTTAGTACCCTATCAGTTCCTTCAGCACCTTCAGTATTCAACATAAACTACGGACAAATAACTCGAGACATATTTTTGCCACGTTATATTTACCATTTGAAAAAATTCGAGCAAGTTATGGAAGGCCCGATGGAAAAACGTATTTGCTTTCTAGCCGAATACGTGGACACCTTGTTGAGTGGTCCAACAGCAAAGCTTACAGCACCGCAAAAAATCCACGAATACAAGTTGCACATTCAATGTTTGAAAAAGAAACTTGGAAACAATATCATACCGATCGGTTTCCTGAGGCTGGGATTTCATTGCGAAAGAGCGTTGCTTTTCAAAGCTCTGGCCGATAAAATCTGCATCCCTTGTTCATTGGTGAAAGGGAGCTTGAGGATTTACTGGAACGAAGTTGCGCTGTTCGAAAATGTGGATAATGAAACGAGGATTAGGTTTTATGTTGTGGATTTGATGCACGACTTGGGGAATTTGATGCTGGTCGGGTCAAGGGAAGCTAATAAATACTGTAATATAAACTAGGTAGTATTTTGTGTATCACACATTGATAAAATATTAATTTGAAATGGAGCTTTTTTGTGTTACTTATTTTAAATGTTTTGTTATTTATTGAGGTGTTTATATCAAAGATCTTTCAACCAGCAGATCTATAGTGACGATAAAAAACTAAGATTCATCTAATGGAGATTTTAGAAAACTCTCGTCCAAAAGATAAGGGACCTGAGACCTGACATTATAGCAAGATGACTCTTTCTCTTTAGTTTTTTTCAAGTCATAACAAGGTAAAATTTAACTTAACCGAAATGCATAGGGTAATGCTAAGTAGATGTAAAATTTATATCACATTGACCATAATATGTAAAAAAGTTTTGAATTTTTGGCTCTGAAAAATTTTAATCATCCGACATTGCCTCATAAAATCTAATGCATATTAATATGTACAGTCATAAGCACAAAAAGTGGGACACCCGACTGACAGGTCTTGTAATTTTTCGCTATTTTGCGTAAATCAGTCTTTTCTCTACAATCGATTTTTTGTCAAATATGACAATCCTTGTCATTGCCGTAGGTATAGCTGGTGAGCCCGTTTTACAAAAGGAAAAAACGGGTGTCTCACTTTTTGTGCTCACGACTGTACTTGTTACGGCTCTGGGGTGCGTGACAGAAATCTTGGGTCCGTTTATTCAAAATTAAAGTCCAAAACATGAGATAATATGGCTCATTTCAAGCTAAAACTGTCCTATTAACCATGGGTCAATTCCTAGTATTTTCGGAGTTATCGCAGAATTTAAATTTAGAAAATGTTAACAACGTGACAACATTGTACAGGTATTATCTCTGCCAGGATATAAATGTAAATAAAACTGGTGAATTTGAAAGTTTTTTTTTTTTTGCACGGAGTTTATTTATTTCCATCTGTTTACGGTTTAGTTTGTTATTGGCTTCTAAATAATGTAAATAATAACTTGCATTTTTGTCACTTTTCTAGTGAAAATAAAAAAATGTGCCGTTTTATTAAGTTGTGAATTGCACTCAGACATTTTTGCACTAAACATTCAAGAGAAAAATAAAATAATACTTACTCAGCTACTTGCCAAATCCTTATTATGAAAATATTAATTTTTGTTAAAAGGTTCTCAAAACACTGGAATCAACACGCAGATTTTGGACACACACTTCCTGTATCACGAAATCCTTGTAAAACGGGCACAATGTTTTTTCATCAGGTGGGTGCTTTCCTTTAGGAAATTTTTCCCTAGCTCCCCTGTAAATTCTGGCGGCCAAATGAGCATTTTGTAACGATTCTGCCTAAACAAGTATCTGCATATTCCACGTTTGTAAACATTTTATTTTCAAAAAAGAATTAATTTGAATTACGCGCGTTTCCCAACTAGACAAGACAAATCAAGAATCAATTTATTCAGTTCAACCAAAGGTCAACGTTCCACCACCTATTCTTTATTGTGCTATGTTGCCAGATGTTTGAACACCGATTTACAAGTGAAATTTGTATGTTGTTTTTTCAATTTTTTGCTATTGTTGTTGACTAAATATGCATAATTACTCAATAATTAAATAAACTGAATTTGTTTACATCTCATAATGATTAAAATTTTCTTTATCTTTAAAATATTTGTCAAAAAATGTCAAAACTGCGAAGGCATTTTTCTTAAAAATGGTTGAGTTTTGACCTCATGTTCTATAAACTTTTTTTGTTTAAAATGGGCCATATTTGCACCTGTTAAAATTTTTGTAGTCAAACCTGATACACCCTGTATCTGTAATCCATTCTTGTAAAGTCGAGAATAAACCCGATAATCTCTTTGCCCGAATAAAGCAGTATTTTCTAGATTTCAAGTTAAATTCTGTACTGTTTGGCAAAGGCGCCACCGTGACACTGCCCTCCTCTTAAGGTTGATCGTTCTGATCAAATTCACGCCCATAATATTTCGTCAATTTGTTCAGATGTACCAACTTTCCTCTTACTCCGGGTGTTGCGCTAAACTCGATAAACTGTAGGGTCCTTCTCATGCGGAAGACAATTTTGGCGACACTCCTTTCATTCTTGTTGGATTATACAGTCAACCCAAATCACTTTCTTGAAATTTGGTTGAATTGGCTTTCAAGTCGTATCTGGTCTTTATTCGGTCACTGACCAGCTGAATATGCTCCCGAACAAAATTATGAATCCCCAAAAGTCGTGCCCTTACTTCTTCGGCATAATCTCGAATTTCTTTTTGTTCTTTTTCAGGTATTTCGGAGAGGTAAACCGCTGCCTCAAAATCTGTACAAAAACTTCGGGATCCATGGGAAGTACACTATACTTCCCTCCCATTTCGCAACTTCCTATGATAAAATAGAAACTTCCCATGGAATTCCTTGGAATTATTAGGAATTCCCCGGACTTCCTGGGGAATTCCTCGGAATTCCTCGGGAATTCCTCGGACTTCTTCGGGAATTTTCCATACGGTATGCTAGTGAAATTTTCCAGAACACTCGGCCAAAAATGCCTCTATAGAAAATGAAACTGGCCTCATAATTTGTTGGGAATGTTGGAACTTGAATATGGATAAAATGAAAAATATGTCGTCTAACTTACCTACTAACAATACACGTTTATTTTATGAAACAAAAAATAAATAAAAATAGATCTCTCCAAATTAAAATCAATAGTTATCAGTGGCGTAACTAAGAGCCCGCAAGTCCCGCAGTCGCGGGGTGGGGGGCCTGTGATTTTGGGGGGCCTGTGATTTTGGGTGGCCTGTGATTTGGGGGGGGGGGCACTCGGCGCCCCCAGACCAGGTGACAAGAAAGTAGATACTTAACTACTAAACTGAAAGAAAATACTTTAACCTGGAACTCATAATAGATACTTACCACTGAAAAAGTATGGACGCATCCGAATTAGTTATGGCATTTGCTAACCACGAGGTCCGCAGAAAGGATTTTTAGGTTTTGGTCTTCTCTTTGCTTTTCTTTTATTTTACTCCACAGGGATTTTTCATCTTTTTTTAAAATATTTTCTTGTTCAGTAATGTGATATTATTTTTGTTTTTAAACAATTCTAATGATGATTTGTTTCTTTATATTAACAGGTAGGGTAGATAATTAGTGATAATGTGTTATATTATCCTATTTTTGTTTCTTGAATATATTAATGTTTTTTTTCTACTGACATTTCATAATACGCTATTAAACGATTAAAATCTGTATCATAATGAACTTCATTACGATACAGATTTTCATTATAATACTCATTTTTAATATTATACAATGTAGATAGATGGCAGCACTAGTTAAGATATTAAACATTTTAAACGGTGATTTTGCCTAAAACAATTATTTTGATAACTATAAAAAAGACTCCGAATTGTTTAAAAGTTACCTTAAGTTTGGGACAAAGAATAATTATTATGGAAATCATGAATGATAACGAAGAATTTTTACTTTCTTCATTATTATACATTGTCAATAGATGGCGCCACCAGTAAAAAAAATTTGATTTTTTTTTTTTTGAATTTTGACAGCACTCTGTTTATAGCTTTTCCATGGTAATTTAGCGAAAAACAATAATTTAATAAACAAAAATACCTCAAATTGTTATTAAAAGTTAATACCTTAAGTTTGGGAGAAGGCATTATTATGGAAATATTGAGCGATAACGAAGAATTTTCACTAACACCTCTAGAAATTACAGAAAGGGCGACAAATGCAGGTAATAATATACTACCGGACAAGTCCAAGAAAATTTACGAAAAATTATATGGACAATTTATGGATTGGAAACACCAAAAACACATTCGTCCTTCTCAGAAAATGTTTTGATAGTATATTTTGAAGAGTTACAAGAAAAAATGAAACCTTCAACTGTATGGACGCATTACTCAATTATAAAATCCCTATTCAAAGTTAAGCATAATGTTGACATATCTAAATATCATCAAGTTTTATCAATGGCAGTAGAAAAAATAGTGTATGCAACTCTCATGTAATGGCCATTAATACACTCGCATGTTATATACGAAACTCGCCTGCGGCTCGTTTCGTATCCTACAACATGCTCGTGTATTAATGGCTATCATTACATGATCATTGCATAATATACTATTATGTTCCTCGTTTGATTACATTTACTTTTTTTTTTATACGCTTGGAATTTATTTATGTATGTCTTTTGGTTTCTTATTTTTAAACGAGTTTTTGAACAACTGGAAATAAAAGCGTTGTTTCATTCTACTACACCTTATATGCAAATGCAAATTATACCTATAATACATATCTAATATATATTTACTTCTATATTATTTTTATTAAAAGACAATTTATTTGTTCATATACATAATACACTGGGTGTCCCAAGAGGCTTTGCCCAGGTGATAACTTCGGAACACGTCATCGAATGTTCCACTTTGTATTTTTTTATCATTTTCTTCAACAAAGCCTTGACAAATATGGCATTGCCGATATTGTAATTTAATTTTGTAAGAAAAAATGCACAATTTCGGCTATAGCCGAAATTATATTATATATATATATACTATATTATAATATAGGAACCATAAGAAAAAGTTACGCAGATCTCATTTCAATTATTTTGGATAACGCGTTACCGTTACGAAGTTATCACCTGGATAAAACGTCTGTATATGAAGAAAAAATTGAAAAAAATAAATATATATACAGGGTGTATCAGGTATGAGTACAAATATTTCAACATGAGATACTATGGCCCATTTCAAGCTAAAAGTGTCCTATTGACCATGGGTCAATTGTTAGTATTTTCGGAGTTATCGCAGAATTTAAATTTAGAAAAATGTCAACAACGTGACAACATTGTACAGGTATTTATCTCTGCCACGATACGAATGTAAATAAAATTGGTAAATTTGAAACTTTTTTTTGCACCGCGTGTATTTATTTCTATCTGTTTACGTTTTGGTTTGTTATTGGCTTTCAACTAATGTAAATTTGTATAATATATAAATAAACTTGCATTTTTACCACTTTTCTAGTAAAAATAAAAAATGTGCCATTTTATTAAGTTGTGAATTGCATTGAATGACATTTTTGCACTAAACATTCAAGACAAAAATCAAATAAGACTTCTCAGCTACTTGTCAAATCCTCATTATGAAAAT